GTTTACTTCCATATCCTCATATTTCCCTGGGTTAAAAGGACTGGGGAAGGCAGAGAGAGTGGAACCATGTCATTGCTTTTTCAAGGACATACTACTGATGCTCTGCATTTTAGGATCTGAAGCTATGTTTCAATTTGGTTTAGGATAAATAATGTTTTCCATCCTAGGGTACTTCAAACTAAACAAATCTATCTGTATGAAAAGCAGGCTGAAGAGTTTGCTGGAACTAAAAATAAAATTCAGCCCCAAAGTAACACCAAGTGAAGAAGATCCCAACACCAGTTATTTGCTTACAGAAAATTCTCAAGTCACTGAAAACAAGCAATGATAGCATCACGATGGAAAGTACGTTTCAACTGGATGCCTAAGGATCATGCCACAAATACATTATTTTTTTCACCAGGTATAAGTTAGTGGTTTATACTTGTATAGTTTTAGAGGCCTCTTAAATTTTTAACTGAAGTTATTAATTAATGTATTGCCACTATGTTTACTTCCCTCCCCCAGTAATTTTCTGATGTACCCATTTCACAAAATGTTTGTCTACTGCAGTGGTTCCCAACCCTTTTTTGCTGTGACCCGCTGCTGGGAGTGGAGTGTGGCGGTGGCAGCGGCAGCCCGGTGATGGGGCTCATCCCAGCATGCAGTGGGGCTCATCCTTTGTGTACGTTGGCATTGCCCCTGTGACCTTCATTTGGGTCGTGACCCGAGGTTGGGAGCTACTGGTCTATTGAGATGATAAACTAGGAGGCAGTTTTTATAGCCCCATGCAAAAGGCTCACACTTGGGCATGACCTCTTCCTTGGTTGGATTCTGGTTTTAGGCAAGAAATGGGCATACTTTTCCCAATAGGGGACGTGTAAAGGAGGCACAGGGGGAGTGGGGGTTATGTCAGAGTCAAGAGTCACCTAAGTAGAGGAGGATGTATAGAGATCAGGGGAATGATTTGTGCATAAAGATGCAGGCCAGATGTTCAAAGACTAACTTCATTCTGACACCTGCCTCTGTGATTCTGGCTGCCTCTCTACATATTAAATAAGACAACAGAGCAAGTGAAATTGTTTTCCTCTTCTCTCCCACTCCCCCACTCCACCATGAAAAATAAGAGCTAAGTATGTTGAAAACATGGAAGCAATGGTATGGAAGCAATTTATTTTACCCTGCAAGACTGGTTACAGGAATCACTACACAATTTATGCCAAGCTACCGAAAATGATTAATGGCTCATAAATAACTTTCCCACAGCTATTGCAATGCCTATGTTGTTTTTACTAATTACAGTAAAATATTCAAAGTAATATTTAAAATATATATTTTATATATATGTAAAGAAAATGTTCAGAACTGCCTTATTTTGGTAGAGCCTCTGCTAAGGAAAACATTTTTTAAAGTGTTGACTTGATGAATGGTGTTCATTTTGTGGTCCATACCTGTAGTTTGGGAACCACTATCATGTTGCTGAAGATGACAGTGAAAGTTACATGCGTTTCTGACCAGCCTACTCGATGTTGATTCTTCAGCCATATCATGATCCTGATTTTCAGCAGTCTTGAGCACATATAATTCCAAAATGCTGTGAGTCAATAGGAGCTGCAGGAACTTAGCAGCTGTGAAAACATAATTTAGCTGCTTTGAAAATACTAATGAAAAACTAGCTACATTTCTCAATGAATTCTTTTCTTCTCTTGATATATAAAGGAAACAATGGGCAATAGGCAGCATGTCTTAACCAGTGCTCAAACATCTGCATGAACACAAACGTGCAAGAGGGAGGAGGAAGAAGTGGAGAATAAGGTAGAGGAAAAGATGGAAATGGGGGGAGGTTAGAAGGCTATTTATATTGTTACAATATCTTTAAAATAATGTTCCACCCTGTTGAGAGAGATGTGACCAACTGAAACATGGGCACACTTTAACTACCATATAGGATCAGATCTGAGGTCCATTTCAATTTAGTAACCTGTTTCCAACATTGTTGAATAATAATAGGCATGAACACCCTAAACATCTGGTGTTGAACAATCTTAATGAGAACTCATTAAAATCCACTCTGGAACTTCCTTTTTCTTAAAGTAATACTAAATAAAAGAGAATATATATATCTATAAGATATGTACAGCATTCTAGATCAAGATGACACTCTCTTTTGTAAAAGATCCACCCAGGAATGAAACCTGACATAATTTATAATATCTCAGCCCATATTATCTTAGTTTTCAAAAATGCACTTGGACATATGTATAACTGTGCAAACCTCCCCCCTCCCCTTAATATTCATTTTTTATTAGCCTTTGAACTAGGCTACCAGTATGCTGCCAATGCTAAAATCTAAAAATGCATGGAAAAGGCCAGTATGACATATGTATACCCAATGGGGTGAAATATTACAGGCCACACAGGCCTCCTACTCCAAAGTAAGAAGAACCATGGCAGGATGACAATTCAGGAAGCATTTCCTTGATGAGTCTTTTATGGGCTCAGAAAGAGGCAAGAACCCTGTTAGCATTCGCTTCCAAAGCTAATGAATGGCAGGTTCTTCCTGGTCCCTGACTAACACTGGTCAAAAAGTTTCTATCAACACTTTTTTTCTATAGAAATGTAGAGTTTCAACAAAACAAAAATGTTGATTAAAATCACCTATTTCCCCTGTAAGATGTCAACTTCTTGCATTAAAAAAATGTCACACCACCAAAAGTGAGCAGTTCTTGTTTCCAGACTAAAAGCAAACATTTCCACCTAACCCCAATGTATGCTGATCTGGAAACGTCACTGCAGGACCCCATGGGCAGTTTAGTTTGGTTGCCCCATACCCTAGTTCTTCTCATTAGTCAGGTTCCCCTAATCAAACTAGATCTCCCATGATAAGGGAGCTGCCAAAATAATGGTGGAAGTGGGCTGCAGGGCAGCTCCTTGAATCTTGCAGGTTCCCCCCACGCACTCCTCCCACCAGTTGGTAGAGGGGCCCCACCACTTGCTCCTGATTAGCAGGGAGCTAAAACTGTGATTTTAAATATGGCTCTATTTTTGCCTCATGGCCAGTCAGCAACAAGCAGGAGGGCCACCAGGACCCCTCAGGCAATTAGCAATGGTGGGAGGGGAGTGGGGTGCACAGGAGAACCTGCAAGTTTAAAGGAGCTGCTGTGCAGCCCACTTCTGCTGTGATTTTGTTAGGTCCCTACCCATGATGCAACATATCAATTCTCCAAGAGGGGAGGCTGTAAGACATCATGGGAGATGAAGTCCTGCTAAGGAGCCAAGTCCATAAAGGAATCAAAATTTGGGGCTCATTATAGATTTTCTTCACTAGAAAGTCAGAAGTCTCCACAGAAATTCTGAAAAAAAAAAAGTTTTGTTTTCAAACTTTTCTGAAGAACAATGCACATTTTCCAAACAGCTCTACTCCTGACAACTTTCTTCCCTTGCAGGGGACCTAGAGACTACTCCAGCTAAAAGCAGAGCTTCTCTTCATGAGGACAGAAAGGAAGTACAGCAATAGGGACCATCAATAAGTTGTCAAAAAAAATCCACTTAGGTTGAAGGTACATAGGAATTGTAAGGAGCTGATCTGCCCCATTTCTACTTCCTTTTCCCATGACATGTCTTTGGCTCATTGGCCTTTGTACCTGCTGGTTTGAATCTCACTTGTGATGTTCACCTAATATTACTGTCTAGATGGCACCAAACTTAATGAGGAACACGGCAAACTTTCCTGACAATAATAAGAACTAGCACATTGCTTTTTTGCATATGTATTTAAAGTACCGTGGGATTACCATGCACAAAACTTGGCAATGCATAACCAAGTTGTACCATTTAAAGTTACATGAGTTTAATGAGGTAGGGTATAATGTGGGCAAGAAATTAATTCAGATACATACACATATATTTGTGAAAGCTAAACTAATTGAAGTAGCTTTTAGTATGCTATACCTCAATAAAAGCAGTCCAAAAAATAAAAACATCTAGCCCAGTGGTGCCCAACCTTTTTGCACTGCAGGCTGGATGGGCAGTGCCAATTCTGTCTACAGGCTGGATCCAGCTGGTGGTCCCAATCTGGCACCTGAAGTGGTCATGGCGGGCACAATCCAGCCATGCAGAAAAGTGTGGGGGCAGACTGGCACCAACATGGCCCTTCAAGGAGCTTGAAGGAAGCGAGTGCGACTTGGCTTTAACCTGGCCCCACAGGGGGGAGGAGGGGGAGGCAGACCCCACACCCAGGCCCCATGGGGGAAGGGGGTGTGCACAGGGCTTAGGGAATTTGGTAGCCATATTAATGGCAACTGCTCCCCTGCCACCAAATTTCTGGACCAGTGTGGATCCCCACAGGCCAGGTCAGGTGGCTCCACAGGCTGCATTTGGTCTGCAGGCTGAAGGTTGAGCACCACTCTTCTAGCCCATTAGGGCTAGGGACATTCAAAAAGCCTGAGCCTGAATTGATTCAATCTTCTCAGGTTAGTCTAGCCTGTGGAGAGTGAACTGGTTTGCAAGTGGATAGACATTTGGCACATGCCTGCAGTGTCTCAAGCCAGAAGTCTGGGGGCACTACAGCAGCCCTCCCTTCCACAGGGAAGTTGAGCAGAGGAGGGCATGGCCAGGTCCCAGCAGGCCCGCCCCAGTGGCTCCCTGACAGCCGGGAGCAATCTGGGCACACAGGGCTGCCTTTCCCTAGAGGGGAACTCTTCCCCCTCCTCCCTCTCCTATACCGCTGTGGGCCCAGGAGGGGGGCCCTGTTTGGTGCTGAGGGGCTCTTCTCTCTCCTCCTCCCCTGCTGCCACCATGGGGTGGGGAGGAGGGCTCTATGAGGCTGCCTTGCCCCAGAGGGGGACTCTTCCCCCTGTTTCTCTCCCATTGCTATGGGGTGGGGAGGGGATAGAGGCAGCCATCACCACACCAGGGGTGAGGAGCACAGCCCCACACTGCCTGGTTGCTTCCATCCCCCAGGATCTGCACTGCGTGCCTGCAGCTCCACACTCACAGAGGGGAAGGTTCACACTGGACTTTGCCTGAAAGCAGGGGGAAGGGTTCCCTCCCCTCCCAGCAGAGTGCGGAGACTGCAGCTAGGAGCCGGGGGAGACAGCAGGCTCCGGGTCAGGCCTTCCCCTGCTGCGAGTGCTGGAGCTACAGGCGTGGGGAGCAAAGCCTCAGGGATAAGGTAGGCTCCGCTCCCTCCTCTGCGCAGTGCTGGCCGGAGCCGTACCTGCATCAGGCACGAGCGCTTTGACCTCCCCACCTGCTGCTGTCAGGTAGTGGGGGCTGCACACCATCGGGGTAGTGTGTGGGGGTCCCTACACCCTGCACCTTCACCCCACACACCCATACCCTGCCCAGCTGAGCTCCAGGATCCCACTCCCACTCTGGGG